ACTTTTTGGTCGAACATTACAAAAACAACGCACAATTTCTTGAAGGTAAATAATTATCATCCTCTTGATTTTCAACACTTTTAACAAGTACTTGCTAACAAATCTATTGTAGTTTATGATCTGGCGGATATGAAATTAGAAAGTAGTGCGAAAAGGATCGAAAGTAATAATAACGTCATAAGAAAGTACAATAGAAATTCTTTTTCAATCGATAGACAGAAGCTGCAACTTTGTTTTACCCGAGGACAATCCGTTGAGTAAGTTTTCATATTACGTGTCGCGGGTTATTTAATTCGTTTATGAAATTAACCTCTCGATGACCCTCTCTTTTTTTTTCAGAATATACTTTATGGAGAACGGCTTGGAGATCGCATCCAGAAATTTTAAAGAACTTGAAAAAATATATTATCTAGAATTTATCGAAAATGATGAGAAACTACTTTTGATTGGCAGTGATGAAGAAAATAATCAAAAGATTATTGTGTGGGATTTGTATAATACAGATAAGATTGAAGCATTACACCTGGACAAAGAACTTATGATACAAAATTTTGATTCTCACTTGGCTAGAACGTCCGGAAATCTTTTAAAGGTTGATGATAAAGGAAATGTTACCTCAGTGCTCAAGATGATTGAAAATAAATTAAAAAAGGAAACAAGGGAGGAAATATTTCATGAAGATCTAGTAGAGTATATTACAGAAATTGAAAAAGAGCCTATATTTAAAGAAGTATTGTGGCAGGAGAAGCACACAATATTCTTTTATGAGGCCTATGATGAAAATAATTTCAGGCCATTAGTTAATGAAACAGAACCATGGGTAATGGACAATTATGACGAATTTTCTTTTTATCTTTGTAATAATGAAACAGAAGCTTTGCAGCTTATAGTTGGAAGAACTACCGTTCAAATCTGGCATAAAATTCTATCGGATCCTAAAAGTAATGCAAAAGAGAAGGAGAAACTTCCCAATCAAGGAAATGTATTCCTTGAATTTATTTGGACAAATGGTATTCCAGTAAAACAAGAAAATAAAGTAAATAGGTTACGAATTAAAAAGGTTCAATTTGGGTTTAAATACTTTTACATGGAAGTTTATTGGTATGAAGAAGATGATGATGAGATAAATGAAAAAGATAATGCAAATGAGAATGAGTTTAGTTATGAAGAAAAGATGAAAAATATGGAAGTTATTAAAGGAAAATCATTGAAAAGAAGAATAGTTAAGTGGGAAGATATTAATGAGAATATAAAGGGAATAAGATATTCTTGCAAAGCATTAGAGCATCTTAATAAGCGTGCAAGTTCTCTTGTAAGTTATGATAGAAAACAAAAAGTAAGTTGATTTAATTATTTAATTTAATCCAATTTTTTTTTTTTTTTTAAAAAAAAAAAAAAATAATTTAACCATCAAACAACATTTTGTTAATTTAACTCAAAAGTATGAAAATATGGTTATGTACATTAATCATATAGTTTGGAGATATATTAACCATAAGCCAGATCAATATAGATTACTAGATGTTCGACATAATATTATGAAAAACTTAATACTTGGTGACTGTGATCATTTAATTAAGTATATTTTATTTGGAAGTAAAGAATACGCAGCTTCTGCTGAAAAAGAAAATAAAATTAAAAAGGATAAAGTTAATGAGGTAGAAAAATTCACAATCAAGCACATACCAAGGAACATATTGTGGCAAAGGAAAGAAGATAAATATATACAGGCCGATGATCTTGAGCCTTTTGATAACGATGAAGAATCAAAAGATATTGAAGAAATATTGCCAAAAAATGATATGGAATTGGCGATTTATCATTGCAAAGGTAAATTTTAATAACTCTAATTTTATGATGTAGAATTATATAATTCTTTGTTAATAAATTAAAATCATTCGATATTAGGACGTGAACTAAGGGACACAATCATGGTTGCATATCTTTTGGAATATTATTCAAGACATGCAAAAGATTATGCTGGTTGGATGAGTACAGTTTCCAAGTCACTTCCTTTGTTATACAAATATGATTATGGTTTGTCTTTTAAAGTTTTTGTTTTTTATGTTTAAAAATGAATTCAGATATTCACTTATAATTATAACCCGTAGATGATTATACCAGAAAGTTATTTCGTAAAGAATGTTTTGCGGATCAAAATCATTTTTCGGCACAAGATTCTCATGAAATTATTCCAAAAAAATACAGTATACAACGTAGTAATAATCCTGAATTCATTGCATTTAAACCTATAGACAAACTGAAGTCAGATAGAGAATCATACAATTCAAATTGGAAAGCAATAAAATCCGTCAAACATAAAATGTCCTTATGGCTTGAAAACTTTGATAATGCTAATGGAAAACCACCATTAGCTTTACGAGTTGTACCCCTTCCTGGGTTTATCACACATACAATCAAAGCAGAAAATGTTAATTATTATTTTAGAAAAAATCTTTTAAACATTATTTGGTTTATGTTTTTACCACGATGGTATAAAATTAGTCGAAATGAAAAAGATAAATTAAGTCCATTTTCAAGAGTGATTCGATACGAGAATAATGATGATATGTTTGACAACCCAGCGACAGAAGCAGTCATTAATTTTTGTTGGCCAAAAGCAAGAAATTTTTTCTTTTTTCGTTTTATTCGATTCCTTATTTTTGGATCTTGTTTTGCGTACATTAGTTGGGCATATATGGTTCATGATGAAAGTACTTTAGAATATAAAAAATATATAATTGCATCGATTATAATATTCTATTATTTAGCAATTTACTTTTTCACTGCTAAAATGATACAGCTACATTTTTATGGAGTGAGGAAATTTTTTAGTGATACATTTAATTATTTTGATATATGTTCGGTTTTAATTCCCGTAATAGTAATGACGATAATGCTTGTCAATTCATTTGACTTTTCCGAGAGCTTTGGAAGTATTCTAGCTGTAGACTCTCAATTAGTCATAGGAATATCCTTCTCAATTCTTTTAATTTGGATAGAAGTTGTAAGTTTTTAATTTTTCTTTGCGCGCGGTGTTGATTTATGTTACTTAAAAAAAAAAAATCATAATAATTTTGAATTTCGATGATAATTTTTTTAGATTTCATATCTCCGTTTAATATCAAGTGATTACGACACTATCTTTTTTTTTTTTTTTTTACTCGAAATATATTATACTTATAACGATTATATATATATATTTTTCAACTTTATAGATATTTCTATTTACATTTATTATGTTTTGAACATTTGCATAACTATATATCCATTTCTTTTATTTTTATTAACTATAGTCATTGCCTTTACGCATACAATGTGAGTTTATAAATTCATCTTTTTATTTGATTCTTATTCTAAAATTATGAGACCAATATTTAATTACATCTATGTAGGTTCATATTGCTCAAAGATCCAGGTGTTGATGTTAAAACTACTACAATAAGTGGTGTTGCCACTTCTGAAAACACCAATGAAGTTTTTAATGTTCAACTTGTAAATGATTATGATCGTACAAATCGAATTGACAATCCATACTCTTACTTTTCAACCGCGTTAGAAGCTTCCTATTTTTGGATAAATGGTCAATTTGTTCAAAGAGATGATTTTGATTCGTGGGCCGTTGAGGCATTTACTTTGCTTGCTAGCATCATGCTTGTTACCGTTTTACAGAATATTTTAATTGCTATTATGGGGTAAGAGTTTTTTTAAAAAATAAAAATCATTTATTCCCACGGGTCTGGGTTCATTTCATTTAATATTCATTCCACTTTAATTCATTTCTTCCATCCAGTGGTGTTTACGGGGAAGCAGCAACTAAGGGCAGACAAGCTTTATTAAGGTTTCGAGCAAACCAGATAGCAGATTATGAAGCATTACATCACATTCATTTTCGAACCCAGGAACCGGAACCGAAATACATTTATTATATCGGCCAAGCAAAAAATTTTGAGGAATGGTACAAGAGCCGAAAGGGTGATCGAGGTCCGATATATAAAGAATTTGAAGAAAAGTCCACTTTTAAAAGATACAATTTCAAGGAATCAAATTTTGACAAAGTTTCAATTTGGAAATTTGATGATAAACCTAAGAAAGATAAAAAGGAAGGAAAAGTTGAGAAAAGTTTAAAGTCATCACAGGTAACAGATATAGATGAGGAGTCGTCCAAAGGGAAACATTCCGCGCAAGATACAATAGAAAAGGATCATGAAGCTATTGATAGGGAAATTCAGGAAATTGAACAATTGAGACGTGACATGAATTCTTTAGTTGATAAATTATTAGGAAAACTCAACAATCAAAAATTTAATTTATAGAATGAAAGACAATTTATTTAATTTTTTTTCTTTTTTTATTTATTATTGTAGTTCATCGTTTCATTTTTGTATTTTCTTGTAATTTATTTTCTTGTTTATATAGAATTAATATTTGATTGATTAATTTTTTTTAAAAATTTGATACCGTGTAATAAATATTTCTTCCATGAATAAAAATTAAATCTATTATTCTATAAAAAAATGTAATGAAATTTTGTGTACATAATTTTATCCATTACTGGATTTTGGTGACAAATCACTTAAAAGTTGTATCCGGAAAAAGCTCGTATTAATTCAAGAACGTTAAAAAGTAAATAATTAAGCAGGAAACTATTTTTGAACCCAATTATGTTCGTTTATCTCCCCTATAATAAAGAGAATCAAAATAAAAAACAAAAATCGCGACGGACTTTGGACCAAGGAATAGATGAAATTGGAGAAGGAAAAGGAGCAGAAATTCAATTAAAGAATAGATTATTACACGTGATGAAATATCGATAATGGTGGTCATTTCGGATAAACTTGCGGTCGCTTGTTAGGTTTACAACATATACTACTCGAAAAAATTTCTTCGATTTTTTGCGGAGCGTCTCGACTTCCAAAATCCTTGCTCTCCAGCTTCAATTACATATACGAAACCTTTCAATTCAATTTGTTGAGAAATTTGTATCTTGAGGATTGACTTGATTATTCCAAATAGATGTCCTTCCGTCAGCAAGTTCCGAGTTTTATATTTTCTATTTCATAAAACGAAGGATCCTGGGTTTCTCAAAGCCTTTATTAGTGAGATTTCTATCTTTCAATGGATATTGTCATACGAGCTCACGTTTGGTTAATTATAATAAAGTACGTTCTTAGACAGCTTTGTGTTTGTCACAACAATCAAAAAGG